ACATTTTCTACCAGAGTGTAACATACATGATCTCTAGCTCAACTTCATATGGAGTCCTTGTTCTCAAACCTCCTGAGCCTGACCTTTACTGTCCACATTCCTGTCAGCGTTCTGGCATTCAGAGCTCCAATAAGACTCACCCATTCTTGTCTGCATGTGGCGTTCTAGGGCTTCTCTGTCCTGTATCTCCAAACTCCTGTTAAACAATTCCAAGGACTTCTAAACTACATGGTCAGGTATAATCACAGAAATGACCCCATTTCTTTGGTACTAATTTTTCTGTACTAGTCAGCTTTCCCTTTGCTGAACACTATATTCAATATCAACAACTTAAAGGAGTAAAGGCTTAATTAATCAGACTGTTTTCAGTCTATAGCGCAGAAACATCATGAGGAAAGGACACAGTGGAGTAAACGTGACTTGTTGATGGTGGCTGTGAAGCAGAGCAAGGGAACAGTGCCAGAGAAAAATGGGCGAGGGACTAGATACTGTACCCAAGGCCATGCCTCTATGGCCCACTCAGTAATACCCAGGATTGTACTCCTCCAATCTACAATGTGTTCCTTAATCCAATGAAGTTGACAAATCAGGATTAAGAGTCACATTAAAAGATGCTGCACAAAGGGTCAAACAAAAATGAATTATTTAGACTACTTCTAGAAAGTTTTTCTAGGAAAATATTCATAGAGATTCACAAAATAAGATGTATTGAAATACCATTTAGAATTCAAAACAAATAGAAACTGGGCCTGGAGACTCACACCTATAATTCCAACCACTGGGGAGGCTGAGGCAGGAGGATCACAAGGTCAAGTTTAGCCTAAGCAATTTTGCAAGACCTTGTCTCAAAATTTAGAAAAAGGACTAGGGATGTAGCTCAGAGATAGAGAATTTCCCAAGCATACAGAAGGCCCTGAGTCCAATCCCCAGGACTGCAAAACAAAATCATTCAAGTAGAAACCAAGTGCCCTACAATGGAGAATTGGTTTAAACAAAACAGAATATAGTTTAGCCAACAAAAATGATGTAATAGAATGATTTGCAAAAACATAGCAATATTTTAATGAAGTAAATACAAAAAACAAGTTATAAGACTGCAATCTGTGTCAGTGTCTCACCCTGTGTCTGTCTGTGTTATCTCATTTTTAAATAAAAACATGACTATACAAGCAGAGACAATAGGTAGCATCACATAGCTCATCTTCCGGTTGTGGTATGTGGAGAGCTTTTATTTTATTTTTACTTTTTTTTTTTGTATTTTAGTACAGGGTCTATGGGGTCTCACTATGTAGATTGGACTTGTAGTGATCCATCTGTGTTCAGCCTCTGAAGAGCCAGGCGTGCGCCACTGTGCCTAGTCTCAATGGCCATCTCAGTGCACCCTGGGGGTGGGGCCTGCATGGCACAATGGGGATTGAACCCTGGCAGCTGCATCTGCCTTAATAGGCACTTTAATCTGCTGAGCTATTTGGCTGGCCCTGGAGGGCTTTTAAAATTTCTACTTGTTTACACTTTAAGAAATTCTCTATAGTAAGTATACAGTAAATTTATACTATGAAAAAGAATCTATTATAATTTTTTCAATTGCTGATCTTGCAAAAATCCTGTGGAGGCTGGCTATGGTGGCACACACCTGTAATCCAGCATTTGGGAGGCTGAGGCAGGAGGATCTCTGAGTTTAAGGCCAGCCTGAAGTGCATAGTGAGACCCTGCTTCGCAACACATACCCCTCCGTGGCCTTGCACACTATGGAGTGCAAAAGTGAGAAAAGTAAGTGGCTCAGCCTGCACACATATGCTGTAACATCATCCCACAGCCCAGCAGGAAGAGGGCAAGGACAAGCATTAGATAAAAGTAAACCCTCCCATGGGGCCTTTGGCCTGATAACTTCAGTTAGTAAAGTGTTTAGGGGTTAACTTTCCCTGGAGCAGGCAGAGGTAGTAGTGGCTGTGTGTGTGTGTGTGTGTGTGTGTGTGTGTGTGTGTGTGTATAGGGGGATGAATTAAGAAGTGAGGGCTCTGGAGCAGGTGCTGGTGGAGAGACTGAGGGTGAGGGTGGTCCCTCCTGGAGCACAGATCCAGGCTCCAGCCAGGCTCATTTGCAGACCCCACACCAGCTTCCCTGCTGCAAAGCCCTTTTCCCCTGTTCTTACTACAGTTGAAGGACTGATGCCAACCCCACCAGGGCCAATATGGAAACTCCAGCACAGAGACTCCCTCAGCTGCCTCTGGGGACTGGAACTGATTTCAGGCCAGTCACCACCCCACCTGATGTCCCAGTCCAGGAAGCCACTCTTCAACCTCCCTGGTGATCTCACAGGGGTTTCAGAGCTGCAATGGGACACACATGCACCACAGGCCTCCTGCCGTTAGGTTTCTGTGGCACAGAGTCAGAGAGCTTTGACTCTGGTTAAAGCTTTTTGACCCAGGTTACTAGGTCCAGGATGTGGAGGAAGTATGTCCAACTAAGGACAGAGCGTTGCATGTGTCCCAGGAGTTTTTAGAGTTGGGCAGTGGTACACAACCTGAAGGCAAGAACAAGCATGGTTCCCAGTAGCAAGGACTTGCTGGAAGAGGGTTTCAATCTTGCTTCTCCTCATGCAGCTCCCCACTCTCAAGATGCCAGGAGATAAGAACAAAAAAAAAATCAGTCCACAGAGGCTGGCTACCCACAAAGCTGAAAAGCTTAGTGAATGTCTAGGATCTGATCAGCCAACGCAAGGGGCCTTTGGATGAGGAGCAGCTTTAGCTTCACAGGGAACACAGGGTACCGTTACATCTTGGAGTGAACCATCTGTCTCCATCACAGACGCTGTAGAAAGGGCTGGGGATGTGGCTCAGTGGCCAGCAACACCGGAGTTGAGGTGCTTTCCACTTTCTTGCTCATCTATCTTCTAGTTCTGCAATCTCTCTCTTCTTTCTTTTGCCCAAAGTCTAGTACATCCCACACTGGGACTGCTCCTTATGTCTGGATGCAAGAATGAAAAACACATGGAGAACAGCTGTAGCCCGACTCACAAAGGATACAAAACAGCAAGGTGAAACAATTATGTTATAACAGCCTAAGATTTGAGGGCACTAGTAATCACTCCCTAACTGAGTCGGAGCCAATAAACAGTCTTTTAGAACTGTAGAAACAGCATAGCAAGATGAAAGCACAGTTTTTAAAAAGAAAAGGCACCCATCCCATAGTATATGCCTTAGCTTTGGTTGAACAGTTTTAATTTTAAAGATGCTCGCAGACCAGTATGCTGAAATAGACCATCATACTGAGGCCCTCTCTCCATCGAGTTCCTTCCACAGAAGGAACCTGGTAGTGGCTGAGGATCCAGCACCCCCACGGAAGAGGCAGAGCAAAGGCTGCTACATGGAGCCAATGCCCAGCACAGAGCTGGCTGTTGGTAGTCAGTGAAATGAAACGGAGCAAAGCCATTTGTCCGCAGTGCTGGAAAAAGCATTGCCAGGCTGTTTCCTCTGCAAACAGCCTGTCCTGTCTGTTGGCCACCGTACCACAGCAAGGCTTGGCACTTGCCTTGTTCTAGGGTCTTCCATTTCCTGAAATCTTGGTTCTGTTGCCAACTGTGTCTCTGCCCGAAATAAAGCAGACTTTCTGGGAACTGGCAGTGAACAAGACAGGCATCCTCCCTCTGCTCCTGGATCCACTGGGCATGGGCGGGCAACGCATGGTGGGGTGCAGCAAGCACGCTCAGGTCTCTCCTTGTCTCGCAAAGCTCTAATGCACCATGCGAGCTCACCATCATCACTATCAGTCTCATGACCACACAGTCACAAGTAAGGTAAAAAGAAACTGTTCCAGATCATTTGATCTGGTTATGCCCAAAAGCCTCTCCCTCCAAATGCCATCAATGTACAACTTCGAAGTTGAAGTTCCAACACTTGAACTTCTGGGGGACACGTTTAGACTACAGCAGTATACCCACATTGTTGGGAGCTGTGTCTCGTATCTACACCCCTCCCCCACAAAGCGTCATGCATTAATAGGTGGGGCTTTTTGGAGCTGGCTGGATTTAGGGTGTGTGATACTGGGATCAAAGGTGCATAGTACAGGGCCGGCCAAATAGCTAATCGGATTAAAGTGTGTGCTTAGGCAGACGCAGCAGTCAGTCGGGGTTTGATCCCCGGTGTGCAGTGCTGGCCCTGCTTGAGGGGCACACTGAGACCACAGTTGAGACTGGGTGTGGTGGAGCGCCTGTAATCCCAGCACTTGGGAAGCTGAAAACAGGAAAATCACTACGAGTCCAATCTACATAGTGAGACCCTGTAGACGCTGTCCTAAATACAGAAAAAAAAAAAAAAAATCTTAAGAACTTTCACATCATGCAAAACTGAAGCTCCATACCCTTAGGCAACACCTCCTCCATTCCATAGGAAGCACATTACACTTTCTGTTTCTGTGGATAGCGCATGTAAGTGGAACCACATGGAATCTGCCTGTTTTGACTGATGTACTTCACTCAGCAACAAGTCCCCAAGGTTTGTCCACACCATAGCAGAAGTTAGAATCCTCTGCCTTTTTATGGCTGAACAATATTCCACAGGGCACAGATACCACATTTTGCTTATTCCTTCATTCTGGCTCCGGTGTATCAACTCCTACGAAGTGAGGGACAGACAGAAGGGATTTTCAAATGACTGAATGGAAGACTGGAGAAGGGCAACGGTGGAAACGGGAGACCAGATAGGATCTGCTGGGACGTGGCTCCCTTCATGATCAACTGCCTCTGTTTTCAGAAGTGCCCCTGTCCATGTGGGAGTCTCTTTTCTTAAGTCCAGCGCATTTCCAGTTTAGACACATACGCTATTTATGCATATTTCTCCCGTGCAGACTGTGGGTCCCTGAGGGCCTGCTGGACAGTCTCCAGTCTGTGCTGGCCACTCTTCCAGAGAGGAAATGGGATGTATACAGGCGGAGCCTTCCGAGGCCTCTGCGGGCACAGCCTGATCTTCCAGCTAACCCGCAGCTCACTCGCCGTGGTGCATGTTTGATTTTTTGCTCCAGGTATGCAAGCTTGAGTGTTTATGGAGGGAGATTTGGAGGTAGGATGAAAGCGTCTCTATTCGTGCTGCTAGTCTGTGAGGCCTTTCTTTAAGCCAAGAGTGCACGGCAGAGCTTGGGTTACTGGGCTGGGGAGAGGTGTGCAGCGCGAGTAGCCGCAAGGCTTCCTCTTGCTCTGAGCCAGGTCCCTGGGGGCACAGGCAGAGGCTAGTGCAAGGGCTGCGGCCTGCTTAGGTGCCCCTCCCGGGTTCTGCGAGGTGGACAGAGCCCAGGCGGCTCCCAGCCGAGCCCACCCAGCCCGGGCGGTGACCACCTGGCGGCCTGGCCAGACATTCCACTCCTGCCGCGGGAACGCGAGGCTGGCTCCACGGTGGCCTGGGGCGGGGTCACCGGCGCCTGGCGACCGCGGCCCGGGCGGGGTCCCAGTAGCGGGACCTTTAAATCGGCCTCCCTTGTCTGCCTCGCCCAGTGACTGGAGCACCATGCCGCGCCCGCTGCCCCCAAGCCTGCAGCTGCTCTGGCCCCTGCTGCTGCTGCTGCTGCTGCTGCTGCCACCGCCCGCCGCCCCCGGGCCTTTGGCCGGCCCGGCTGTCGCGAGGGTGCGGACCCGCGGACCCGTCGGCAGCCCTGGGGGCCGTGGTGCAGGTACAGGTGCGGGGCGGCCTGTGGGACATCGAGCAGGAGGGGAGCCTGGGGCCTCCGCGTTCCTCAGCTGCTGGCCGACCAGGAGGAAGAATCCTGTGCAAAGCTGGGGTCCGGGAGAGGAAAGGGGGTGCCCCGGCCACTCCTATGCAAGGGCTAGAGGTTGGGTCTCCCCAGCCGACCGGGTCCGGGATTGGGCGGGAGCCCAGGGCAGCTGTGCTTGCTAGCTTTGGTCCCCCAACCTCTGGTTCCACTGAGCAGTCCTTCGCCCCTGCTCCTGGATCCCTGACCCCTCCGCCTCTACTCTGGCCCAGCCAGCGCAAGGCTCTCGCAGCCCTCCCCTCCAGCCCCTCAGCTGCCGAGGTGCAACCCTGCACTGGTAGAGGGGAGGGCTCAGAGTGGGGCTGAGAGGCCAGGAAGGAAACCTGCGAAGCCACCTGGATGTCCAGTACCTGAGCCACCCCTGCCTCAGCCCTGTCCTCCCTAGCCGAGGTGTTTTCAGACCTAACGGCCCCAGTCCAGCCTTTGCTGAGATACCAAAGACGCCAGACACTATGAGTCTGTGAAGAACAATTCCGTCTCTCTCTTTGATCAGTTAACTGATTCCCAGGCAGAGCAAAGGTCCTAGCAAAGTTGGCCGTCATTTGATGTGACCCTGGAAGGGGCACTCAGGGAAACCAAGGCTTTTCAGAATGGAGGCTCCCAGGCTGTAAGCGCGGGAGTCAAGAATAAAACTCAGACCTGAAATCCCACCCACGGGCTTCTTCCACAGCTCCAATCTACCCAGCTTTTCCTGCGGTTTTTGTAAGATTTTATCTTCATTACTAAAAGCACAGCTTCAGCCCTGGCCAAGAGAGACTGCGGCGACCCATTCCCGGGGGTCTGTCCCGTGCCCAGCTGTGCTGGATGTTGGGTGACTTGCTTGTCTGTCTCTCCTGCTCCTTTCGATGTGTTGAGATGGAGTTCAGGGGACTCTCCCCCACAGCATCTGGGCATTCCAAGGCAAATTTGAGAAATGAAAACATGGCAACAGAGGCAGGAGAGGCCAGGGGCCCGGATTCCCAACCGTAGATCAGCTGGTAGCTGGTTGGTTGTTCCAGGCCAGAAAGCGGGAAAAGCTTTTATTTTTTATTTATTTTATTTTTATTGAGAAACAAATATGAATGAGACAGTTTCAAAGCTGATTAATAGGACAGTTTTGATAATCAGTACATTGTGCATTGTTATCTTCTTAGTGGTTATCCATAGTACAAGAAGCAGACAAGATATCCTGTCCAAACACTGTTAGTACACCTCTTTCTTCTCACTAAATTAAGTGAAAGTAGCTGTATATCTATCCTAACTATTTTGTATATATAAATACAAAATGGTCTTTCCTTTGTATCCCTTTTTTTGTTTAGTTCTGTCAGAGGTGGATATTCTATTGGCCTCTAAATACGATAGGTGTTTGAATTGAGCAAAACAATCCAACACTGTCTAGCAGTCTATAATATTAGTGGGTTATTCTCAGAAGTTATTGACTTGAGCCTTTTATAACTCGTTGTATTAGTATGACTTTACTTTATATATCTCGTTTTTATACTTTTCTGCTGGATGGCTAAGACCAAGATAAAGCAAGACCTATATAGCAAGAAATGTAACTTTTGTATCTGATAGGGTCAATCAAGTACCCTCAGGATTTATCCTGTAGCCCTGTGCCACACTATGTAGATCCTTTGTCAGTGTCAGCCATGAGGATGAGTCACGGTCATTGCTTGACCGATTGAGAAAGGGTTTTTTTTTTTTTTTTTTTGCATCAAATTTGCTTTGGTCCTCATCTGCCTGCCCAGGGAAGAGACTGGAAGAGGGAGTGACATTCTGCATGGGGTGACCATGTGCCCCTAAGCTGCACCAGTCCTTGTCTATCTGGAATCCGCACTGGATCTTAAATCACTTAATGATCTCCAACACTCTGCATTTCTTTCTAAATTCTCTCCCCTATTGCTAAGCTTTGCTATGGGCTTTTATTTTTAGCAATACTTCAGAAATAGTGACACTGCTTATGCACACCTTTTAAGAGGCTAACATTTTTCTTTGTGTGTGTGGTAGTAGGGATTAAACTAGGTCTCTATTGTACCAATGAGCCACAACCCTGGCCCTTTTTAATTACTTTTATTTTGAGAAAAGCTGGCCTTGAGTTTGTGATTTTCCTGCCTTACCATTTCAACTGATTGGGATAATTTCATTGTTCCTGAGAATCAAATTCCTGCTACTTACTATGGGGAAATGGGAATAAATCAGAGGAGACTGGGGAGATGGCTCAGTGCAAAGGCCATGGGTTCAATTCCCAGTATTGCAGCGCACAAGCCAGCAAGTCATTTGTGCCTTCTTCTGGGGGAGTGCAAATCAAGAAAGAGCAGAGTAGTCAAGGAACTGCCTGCCAATCTGATCTAGGACCCTGGATTAGTTTTCTGTTGCTGCTATAACAACCGGCTGTGAATTTAGAAGCGTAAAGCAGCACATGTCATGTTAGTGTTTGTGGGTCAGAGCCTGACAGTCTCCTCAGGCAACCTTAAGGCACAGCAGTACCTCCCAACCCTTTGGGAGCCGAAGGGGAGAAGTGTCTGCCTGCCTTTCCTATCTTCTTGGAGGCACCCTGCTCTAGTTGGGGCCTTATTCTTCCCTCCTCAAAGCCAGCACCAGCAGGCTGAGTCCTCTTATCTCTTCACTCAGACCCCTCTCCTGCCCTCTTCCACTTTTGGGGACCTTTGTGACTATGTTGCCACCCATGAATGATCCAGCCCTGTCTCAAGCCTTTAATTCTTCCCTCAAGTCATTTTTGCATATGAAGCAGTGTATGTCCTGGTTCCCGGGACTAGGACCCAGACAACTCCAGAGGGAGACTTCATTCTACCCACGGCACCCTTTGGTCCCTCTTGAGCAGGGGATTTAGTGCGAAGGTGTCTTGGAGAAGGAAAGACTCCGATGCGTACAGCTCCGAGAAGTGGCTTCTAAGCACACCGCTCAAGTAAGACAGCACTGTTAGTCCAGGGTCTGCATCATCCTGTGTGATGCCTTTACTCCAATTACACAAAGATACCAGGACCCTGGTCCGGGCAGGGTTCTCAGCACAACTCTTCTTCCTTGCTTCTGATCCATGGCAATCTCAAGGGACAAAGGAAAATTCTAGAGCTGTTTAAAAGAGGGATTCTTAATTCCTTCAGACTTAACTAAATGCATGACACATAGCATGTTCGAGGTGGTGGTTCGGAGCTGGACGGATGCTCACTGGCATGTGAGATCATGTTAACATTTATGGTGGCAAATAGCAGCTCAAGGAATAGCCTTGGAGGAGGCAGAAAGGCCCTGGGTGGGGTCAGGAAACCTTGGGGCCAGCCAGGGTCCTCAGCTTTTCAGTCCTTTCTCCTCCTGAACACCAGTGGTCTCATCTGCCAGATGGGCATCAGACAGCTCCTGTGCATCTCACTGCACAGGGGCCTTGTGCTCATCTCCTGTGACTTAAAAGTGTTGGTAAAAGGAAAACTCTTTTTGTTTTTCCTTCAATACCGGGGATTGAACCCAGGGTCTTCAGACACTGAGCCTAAAAACTAGCCCCTTTTAAATTATTTTGTATTTTAAGACAAAGCATCACTAATTTGCTAATGTGCTTAGGGAGGGCTTGAACTTGCCATCCTCCTGCCTCAGCCTCCCAAGGTGCTGAGACTGCAGGTGTGTGCCACCATGCCTGGCTAAATATTTGTTTCTTAATTGAATACTTCCAGAAAGTAGGATAAAACCAAGAGGCCAATTTTCAGCTTTTAAAAGAAAGCTATTTAGAGCCATACTTCTTGTTCCAGATAAGGATTTTCCTTCTGTAAGTGGCTTAGCCTAAGAACGTATTTTGGACTCACCCTTTTTCCTTCCCACTGAGTATATTGTTTTCACAGCATAGTTTCAGCATCTGTTCTTTTATTAGGGAGAAAGGAGCCCTGGTTGACACTTCCTCAGGACCTAATTTCCATTTAGGGTGGCTTGTGTGGTGTGTGTGTGTGTGTGTGTGTGTGTGTGTGTGTGTTTCTTTCTTCTCTAGTTGTGACCTGTGGACTTGATTTTGGTGGCTAAGAGAGAGATTTCCCAAATAGGTCTGGAAGCCACAGGAAAACCTAGGAAAGAATAGATAAAAACTAACATTATATTACTGCAGTGTGCCAGGCACTGCTGTATACAAAGGTTGTATGAACATGAGTGAAAAATGTAGCAAAAGTTTAAACTAAAAATGCTAGTATAATAAATACCTTTCAAATGCCCTCTCAAAATACACTTTCTTGCAGCACACCCATTATTGTTGCCTTTTGCTTTTCTTTGGTGCTAGAGATTGAACCCAGGGCCTTGTATGTGCAGGGCAAGAGCTCTACCCCTGAGCCGTATCCCCAGCCCCTCTCGGCACTTTCTGAAGTAGATCTGAAAGTCCTCTTTTATGAGTCCTCTTTAATTGTGCTGTGTGGCTGCCTTGATGTACTGAACTTTTTTTTTTTTTTCTTGGTAGCAGGGATTGAACTCAGGACCCTGTGCTTGCCAGGCAAGCGCTTATTCTACTGCACTACCTCTCTGGCTTGATGTCCTGATTTGATTCAAAACGTTCACCTTTCATGGCTCTTGCCCAGCGTCACACAGTATCAGATCCAGCGAATGAGCTGGTTGAGGACATGCTGTGATATTTTCATCGGCCTGCCTTCCACTGGATGGTGTGGCCAACGCCATTAGTTATCACATTTCATAAAGACACTCACAGTAGAGGACTTCCATCGCTGCTTCAGAAAGTGACAAGAGCAGTAGGATAAGTGTGTTGAAAGACATACTAAATGTCTTTTAGCATAAGATGTTTTTACAATTTCAACAGTCACTTTAGATTTTGAGCACCCCTTGGAAGTGGGTTGAGGATGGGAAATCTGCCTTGTTCACCTTTGCAGCTCCAAGACTCACTTTGTGTAGGTCTTCAGAAAATACCTTCTTGGTGAATGAATGCGTGGCAGAGAGGTGATGGGGATGCACAGGTCACATGGCCTCTGCTCCGTAAGACAGTGAGACATGTTCATGGGCCCAGAAGCGCAGTAGACTCACAGCAGTTTACATCGTTACCTCCTTTCTATCTGCAGCTAGCCCGGGAGTTTGGAGATCAGGTGAAGGTGCATGTAGGGCTTCTCTATAGGAGTGTTCACCCTTTCAAATGGGAGCAGAAGGGAGCCGTCAGAAGGTTCCTACATGCCTTGCCTCAAACTCTGCCACTGCTGAGACCTGCTGGGCAGTGTACAGTGGCCTCAGAGTGGGGCCTTGACACTGTTCAGGGAAGCCTCATACAGCTCAGGGCTCCAGAAAGGGCTGAGTTTCTTTCATTCCTAAAGCTCACAGAGCACCGTGGAATAAAACCTCAAGCAGTGGGTCGGTGGTTTCAGGACTCTTCAGGCTGTAGGTGAAGGATGTGGGGCCACTTCCCATCTCTGTGTGAATTTCCACCAGGGAATTCTGAAGGCCTTGGTGTTTCAGCAGCCAAAAGGAGGGCAGTCTGGGGGAAGGTAGCAGTAGTGGTGGCACTTGGGTTAGGGATTCTATCTTGGCTTCCCTGGAAGCCCAGCATTTTCTGGAATAAGAGGTATCATATTTCTGGTTGAGGCCTGATCACTACTTGGTCTTTTCTGCTGCCCACCCTCTTGTTTGCAGGTGTTTGCAAAAGCAGGCCCTTGGACTTGGTATTCATCATCGATAGCTCTCGTAGTGTACGGCCCCTGGAATTCACCAAGGTGAAAACTTTCGTCTCCCGGATCATTGATACTCTGGACATTGGGGCCGCTGCCACACGGGTGGCAGTGGTGAACTATGCTAGCACGGTGAAGACCGAGTTCCAGCTCCAGACCTACTCAGACAAGCGGGCCCTGAAAAAGGCTGTAGCGCGCATCACACCCTTGTCCACCGGCACCATGTCGGGGCTGGCCATCCAGACAGCAATGGATGAAGCTTTCACAGTGGAGGCGGGGGCCCGGGGACCCACCTCCAACATCCCCAAGGTGGCCATCATTGTGACTGACGGGAGGCCCCAGGACCAGGTGAGTGAGGTGGCGGCTAGGGCCCGGGCCTCAGGCATTGAGCTCTATGCTGTAGGCGTGGACCGGGCAGACATGGAGTCCCTGAAGACGATGGCCAGCAAGCCTCTGGATGAGCATGTGTTCTATGTGGAGACCTACGGCGTCATCGAGAAGCTTTCCTCCAGATTCCAGGAAACCTTTTGTGGTAAGTCGGTAAGTCTTTGCTGCCAGCTAGAAGGAACATTGCATTCTGGAGATTGTGTCCAAAGAAAAAGAGATCTGTTCGCTGTTTTGGTGGAAGTTTTAGGAAAAACTTAAATACACTCAGTACTTTTTTTTTTTTTTTT